CCCGGGGTACCCCAGCCCCTCCAGCACCCTCCGTGCCCCGGGAGTGCCGGGGGGTCCATCGAAGAGCCAGGGGAACTGCGGTGACTGGGGGACTCTGAGTCAGCCGGGCCGGGCTTCCCAGCCCTGCCCAGTCCCCGAGCTCGTGCTGGGCGGCGGGGCCAGGGCTGATGCACGGCCCGGTCGGGGGCACCCCCAGACTCCCCCGACCTCCCGGGGGTGCTGCCGGGGGGTGTTCGGGGTTTCACCCGGGGACACTCCAGCAGCTTCTGGGCTGAGCATGGGATCCCCTGCTCCCCACTCTGGACCCCCAGTCTGGCCCGGGGGGGCTGCACAGTGACACGGGTGAGTGTGGGAGACCCCTGCTCCCCTGGACCCCCACCCTGGCCTTGTAGGGCTGTGCAGTGACAGGGCTGTCTTGGGGACTGGGTTGTGCTGAAGCAGTGACGAGTGGCTCTGGGCCCTGTGCAGGTGACAGCTGGTGGCAGCGCCATGTGGAATTGGGACAGTCCTGGTATGTCACCCCGTGGGTCCTGCGGGACGACCGGATGCTCAGCCTGGCAGAGGCGACACAGGTAACACCCCCGCCCACTCCTGGGGTGCCCCCACCATGCAGGGGCTCATAAGGGTGGGGTGGGCACTTCCTGCACCCTCCACCTCCCCCTGCCCCCTTCCCAGTGCAGGAACCACATACCCAGCACCTGGGTACCCTAGTCCCATGTCCCTAGGGGTCCAAGCACCCACAGCTTCTGGTCACTCCAGAGGCAGTGGGGAGGGAGTCCCTTCCCCCCCTCTCCTGATGCCAGAGGACGTGTCTGGGTGGGGGCACCCACCCTGCACCCCTCCCGGCGGGAGCGGAAGGGCCCAGCCCACCCCACGTTGGGAGTCTCTCTGGCGTTTCCGCCACACTGCACTGGGCAGGAAGCGCCGGGGGTGGCGAGGGGGGGCCCGGCTCTGTCCAACCCCCCCGTCCCCCGCCCAATGAGCCCGGGAGGGAGGGACGCTTCCTGCAGGAGCCGGGGCGGGCAGGGGATCCCTTCCGCCCCCTCCCTCCGGGCACACGCCAAGGCCAGGCGAGCCCCCCCAGCCCCCTCCAGCACCCTGCTGTGGGCAATGCTGTCATGGAGGGTACATGGGGACAGGAGGGGACCTTCAGGGTGGGGACCCCTGGGACAGGGGCTTCCCCTGTAACTGCTGCCTGTGGCAGGGGGGGTTCCCTGCCCAGCTGCAGATCCTGCTGGAGCTGGAGGGGACATGGATGGTTCTGGAGCTGGAGCAAAACTGGTGAGTCTGGTGGTGGGTCAGTCGGTGGGTGACTGGGTGGGGGTCCCAGGGGTTCTGGATCCATGAATGGTGTGTGCAAGGTCCCATGGCTCCATCACCATCCATGGTGCACAAGGGGTAGGGGTCTCGGTGAACCTCTCTCCATCCCTACTACATGTGCTGTGGGGGTCCCATGGGCTCCCCAGGGTCTTCATCCCAGGTGCACTTACAGTAGGGTGGGGGGTAGCAGGGTCCCCGTGTTTTATCAGTGGGGTGCTCAGTGGGGGGTGAGCAGAGGAGTCCTTGCTGTGGGATGACACGTGCCTCTGGCAGGGAGCTGGTGCAGGGCACTGGGACGCTGCTCTATTACCTGCCCAACGGCACACGGGTGACACAGGAGGCCAACAAGCAGGTAGTACCTGGGCACATTGTGTCCCTGGCTGTGTCCCCTGCCTTTCCCATGCCCTGGGGGGTGACCCCAGCACCGGGCTGGATCTTAAGTCCCCCTCTCTGCTTCAGGAGCACTGCTGCTACCAGGGGACCGTGCGAGGCTTCCCCAGCTCCTGGGCCAGCCTCTGTGCCTGCGCTGGACTCAGGTGAGCCCTGACCCTAGTGGTCCTCAAGCCCAACTCCCACCATCCCACTGATGCCTCCTCTGCCCTTCCCCAGTGGCCACCTCGGGCTGTTGGAGAGCAGGAGCTACGTGCTGGAGCCAGACACCGGCAGCCCCCTGGGGCAGCACATCGCGTACCAGCTGCAGGGGGCCCGGCTGGTGCCGCGGGCCTGTGGGCAGGACCCCCAGGACCCTCTCCGGGCAGCAGTGGAGGAGACACAGCCCCCCTGGCCGCAGAGGGTAGGTCACCCATGGGCCTTGCCCTTCCAGGCAGGGTTGTTTCACCTGTGCCCTGTCCCATAGAGGGTCCCCTCCCCAAGGCTTTGACCCGAAGAGGGTCTCCTCACCCAGACCCTGTCCCAAGCATGCCCCCCCCAGGGCAAGCGGGCGGTGGTGGAGCAGCGTTTTGTGGAGCTGGTGATGGTGGTGGACCATGCTGCGGTGAGTGCTGGGCAGGCGTCCCTGGTGCAGGGGCTGCTCTTCTCCCCTGCCAGTCCCCCCTGACGCCCCTCCCTGCACCCCCAGTTCCAGAATTACCCCAACCTGCAACGCATCCGCACCCGGACCCTGGAAATCGCCAACCAGGTGGATGTGGTGAGTCACCACTGTGACCTGGTGGGCACTGTCCCCCCGAGCCTGGTCCTCAGCTTGGCTGTGCTAGGGGTCTCTGACATCCACCCCCCTGCCCTGCCCCCCAGTTCTCCCAGCCACTGGGAGTGCGGGTGGCCCTGCTGGCTGTGGAGGTCTGGAGCAAGGGTGACAAGTTCACAGTGGGCAGCAGTGCCCGGGCCGCACTGGAGCAGTTCCTGCACTGGCGCCAGCAGGAGCTGCTGCCCCGGCTGCCCCATGACAACGCCCAGCTCCTCACGTGAGTGGGGGACAGGGACAGGGGGTGAGGTGCACTGGCAGCAACCCTCCAACCCCCATGCTCTCTCCCCAGGGGCACCCACTTTGATGATGTTTCAGTGGGGATGTCGGCTCAAGCCTCCATGTGTTCCCCTGCACGCTCTGGGGGGGTGAGCATGGTCAGTACCACCCGTGTTTCCCCACCCTTGCCCCACTCCCCACCTGCCTGTTCTGACCTGCCCCCACCCCTGTCCCCAGGACCACTCGGTCAGCGTCCTTGTCGTTGCCTCCACTGTGGCTCACCAGCTGGGGCACAACTTGGGGATGCGGCACGATGGCACCGGGCGCTTCTGCTACTGCAGTGACCTCCAGCAGGACCGTGGCTGCATCATGGCGTCACCCACGGGGTGAGGGCAGTGGGCAGGGCTGGGGGGGTTGCTTGGGTCAAGCCCCCTCTCTGCCTCACCAGCCCCTCTCTGGCTCTGCAGGCTGACACCCGGCTTGAGCTTCAGCAACTGCAGCCAGCAGGACCTGGAGCGCAGCCTGCAACAGGGACTGGGCTGGTGTCTCTCTAATGTCCCCGAGCCCCGAAGCCTGGCCGGGACCCCCCGCTGTGGGAATCACTTCCTGGAGCCAGGCGAGAGCTGTGACTGCGGCCTCAGTGTGGTACGGAGGCACGCAGGGTGGGCTGGTGTCACCCCTGTGGCCACCCCAGAGCCTGGGGCTGCCCGTGACATTGCCTCTGCCCAGGGATGCTGTGTCCTGGTGAGGGGATGCTCATGCCACCCACTCACCACAGCACCTCTGCCCTCAGGAGTGCACTGATCTCTGCTGCAACAGCAGCACATGCCAGCTGATGCCCGGGGCCACGTGTGCCACTGGGGACTCCTGCTGCCAGGACTGTCAGGTACGTGGAGACAGACAGCCAGCAGTGCTGGCACTCTAGTCCCTCTCTAGGGTGGGTTTCTCTGGGGTCCCCACTTGCCTGACAGTGTCCCCCCTGCAGCTGCGACCTGCTGGACACCCCTGCCGGGAGCCCTATGGCGAGTGTGACCTGCCCGAGTTCTGTGACGGGGTCTCTCCCCACTGCCCCCCTGATGCCTTCCTGCAGGACGGGCAGCCCTGTGCCAGCGGGCAGGCAGTCTGCTACGGTGGAGCCTGTGCCACCTACGAGGGACAGTGCCAGCAGCTGCTGGGGCCAGGTATGGCAGGGCCAGGCGGAGGGGCAGGGGCTGGGTGGGGGATGCTGAGGTTTTGCTGCCCCCCTGCAGGTGCCAGCCCTGTCTCCAACTCCTGCATGGCCACCCTGAATGCCAATGGAGACGAACATGGGCACTGCGGGCAGCTCCCCAATGGCTCCTACGTTGCCTGTGCCCAGCGGTGAGTGCTGTTTCCCCTTGCCGTGTCCTACGTGCCATATCCCCCTTGCTGTCCCCCACCCCTGACCCCTCTGTCCCTACAGGGATGCTGGCTGTGGGATGCTGCAGTGCCACCATGGTGCTGGGGACAGACCAGAAGGGTCCTGCCGGGGGACCCTCCTTCCTGGGGATGAGGATGTGAGCGATGGGGCTATGGTGCTGCCTGGCACTGCTTGTGGCCCCGGGAAGGTGAGTGCTGGGGCACCAGGAGAGGGGCTGGAGGGTTGCCTGGTGCTGAGTCCCTGTCCCTTGGCAGGTCTGCCTCCAGCATCAGTGCCGGGATGTCTCTGCACTGGGTGACCAGCAGTGCCAGAGCAAGTGCCACGGGCATGGGGTGAGTGGGGGGCTGGAGGGGATGGGTGCTCAGGAACCTGCTGGGGGCTGACACTCTGTGTCACCTGCTCAGGTCTGCAACAACCACGGGCACTGCCACTGCCAGCGGGGCTGGGGCCCCCCGACCTGCCCGAGCCCCGGCGTGGGGGGGC